TGCTGATATGTGACTCGGCAAAGTATTTTTTGCCCCCTCCCCCCTGTATGCAGCCGTACCTTTGGTAGCGGTTATTGGCAAGATGCCTACGGGAAACTCGTCCGAAATCGATTTTCAAGTCATTGAGAACGAAGGCTTTTTCTTCGCAGGATTTTGACCGTTTCACTCCGTTCTTTCGCCATTTCCCACTATATAGCGCCCTGCTAGCATTTTAGGCCGGGTACCAAATTATCGTGCCACCTGCCTTTAATAAGTGCTCCAATACTTATTAAGTGCTAGCATGAAATTGCTTTCCAATCACTAAATGACACGTACGAGATGGAGAAACGACCTTTTTCTTTCACACCATCACAACACATCCCTGAACCTTTTTGCGTATGGAAATCTCTTGTTCTTTGCTGTATTTTTTTCACGAAGGCGCCTATTAGCGGACTTCGACGCAGTGAAAGTAAGCTGAGTTTGCATCCTTCAGCCCCAGCGAGATATCGAGAAGTTGGTACAGTTATAAAAATTGGCCTCTATTCGATGTTCTAACACCTGTAAATCACTGTGTTTGTTCCAGCTCTAAGCCTTACATCGATGGAGCACCACACAATTTGACAGCAACCAAAATCACAAAAACTACCCTGAGAAACTGGTGTTGTTCGATCACGCACATGATATCTTCAGATTATCCAGTATCTATCTATTATCTATCTTCTCAGAACACCCTTCCAAATCGAACATGCGTACATGTGCAGCCTTGGGATCCCGTTACGATTCCCGTCCCCAGATTTTGCACTTGAACAATTGCGCTTGGTTGCTTGAAAAAGGCTGAATCCGGAAAATTGGATAGTCTTAATAGCACAATACAATCAAGCGGCTAACGAACTTGATAAAACATTTTGATGAACATTCGCGAATTCACATCTATGCCCTTCCGAGTTCTATAAATAAGTGGCCTCAGGCGCGAGCCCGCTTGGACATTTGTTTCAATCTCTGCCAATTCAACAGTAATGATTCTATAACATTTCGTGTACCAATCCTGCAAGAATGGGCTAGGAGCTGTTGAGTCTCAGCGCTAGCGTACGTGGCAAATGAACGCATCACTTAATCAGCTTCCATAATGTATCGCGAAGACCCAAATTCCGCGCAATACTATGCCCAGGCTACTGAGCCTTCCCTACTTTGAAGGTCGCATGAGGGGTGGAAGATTTCCATCTCAACCGAGTAAGACATTTTCTACCGTGACCCAGGTTGATGAGATCTCATTTCAATTCATTTCACAGCTGCGCATCCTAATTCGGATTGACCAAAGTCGAAACACACTTTCCGAGAACGCGTCTTGATGACCAAGGACAAAAGAACCAGAAAAAAACCCTTGATACGTACAAAATAGCTCCTTCAAGTCGAGAAACCTGTTTCCCATGCCGCTTACCGTTTTACTTTTTGTTTTTTCCTTTCCCTTCGACACATTCTGAGCCTTATCTGTAGCCTTACACAGGCTTTGGCCCATGCGTCCCGTTTTCCCCTATGAGATTAGAAGGTGCACGACGGCAAAAGCCGCAGTCCAATTCATTTTTAAAGTCCAGACATTCTAATAAAAATCCACTCTTATGTATGATTCTTGTAGGGTCTAAAAGTGTCTGTAAGGTTGTCACAACCCGGGCCCATTACTAAGAAACGTCCCAGAACTTCTACCCAAGTGGAGGACGTGTTTTCCTAGTCTTATGGTAAGCGTTTCAAGATCGTGGGGTAAGCAGCTAAGGCACTGAAACTGAGTCATATTTCCTGAACTAATCACGTACACATCACAGAACTATTCTATACTTACACCTGTCACGGCATAAGGCAGTATGGTGCTCATCATTGCAGACCGGTGGGGCGGTGCCTGTGACTCGGCTGTGACGCGACTGTCATCGTTGCCGCGTACAGCCGAGTCACACGCACCGCCCCACCGGTCTGCAATGATGAGGACTGTACATACTGCTTTCTCGCAGAGGCTACCATGCGCCACCAGTTCTTCTGATAAGCTACTCGTAACGTCCTAGTCTGCAGACAGAGAGCGGAAGTCGGAGGTTTTCATGATAACTTGTGATTTGCATTCATATGACATGGTTCTACTTGAAAGCCGTTTTTTTCGAACAGACCCATAGCGCGGAAGCAAATGGGCGGTCACCTTTGCTGGACTTGGTCTGATCAGCCAGGCGCTCCTATAAATCCGCTTCCATATGGTCATCCGTCAACTGGTCGACCCATTATTTCTCTCCTGACAAAAATGCTCCTGCGACTGATCTCGCTAGTACTTTTTCCAGTCGCTGTGTCACAGCTGTTTGGTCAGTATTGTAAGTTCTTCGGTGCTGGGTAGATTTTTGCTGTATGCGAAGGGGTTTTTTCCTCACTGTGAGACGACCTGTCGCCTTACGATACAGCCGATAGAGCTCTACTTTCATCGGTGCACCCTGAGCAGGCCTAATATTTATTTTTCTACTTCGTCGCAGAAGGCGTTCACAAGTTTTGTTCACCGCTTCTTACGAGCTTTTGGCAGCTATTCTGAGGCAAGAGAGCTTCTGCTAAATATGCATTCCTACCCATGTGACCTACTCCTGTTCATTATTCTCCTCATCTCCCGGAACAGGGCGTCGTCTCTAACTAAAGGCATCAATCGTAAGAGGCTTTATATTATGCCGTGTGAAAACAAGTGTTTAGGACCAAACTGTGGATGTATACGACCAATTGTATTCGAATTACCAACTCCACCCAAGGATGACCCGACACCTTGTCCAGGAACTTGCAATCCGGTACGTCATCTCTGCAATTACCGCTAGCTGACGCGCTTCTTTTTTTATTTTTTCTCGACTATCCTATCTATCTTCAAGAATCGCACTGCTGAAATTGTTCTCTGATAGCCATTCGCACGTCCACCGCCGTGCTAGCCAAAGACTTTGCGCAGTTTGTCAACCGTTCCACTTCACCTGTTTTCGCAGCCTCCCCGGGATCCCCGGGAGCGTTACTTAATCGTTATGATACACGAGTTCATACTTTGCCAGTTCAGCGACTTAGTCGCGCGATTTGGGAGCAGCGCCACCATGATCGTACATCTCTAAATGGCTACAACGGTGTGAGGGAATTATGTTCTAAGCACGATTTACTGGCAGCTGCAGCGGACTGAATAGCGGAGGAGAGGTTGCGGGCTGAACCGCTGAGATCGAGAATAACGACTGCGCTCCGGAAATTCTCTGGAGAATGGAGACAGCATTGTTCGAAAAATCCCATGACAGGGTCGTACTTGGCCGCTGGTGAGAGGACTGCACCCGATTAGACAATCCAGAGGAAAGGGGCTGGCAGAGACACCGCCATTTCACACATCATTAGCTGTACACTGCACTGGGAACTGGTCACCTCAGGAGCGAATAGAGATTTTAGGAAAGGGGCAGGCTGAGGAAATTGGGCCACGATTACAAAAACCTTTCATAAAGCGCTTTCTTACAGTGTGGCCGTAAGAAGCGACAGATCAGCGTGGTGCCGGAACCTGTTAACAGCGAAGATCGCAAATGTAATAATGAACAACTGAGGGAGATTATCTTGAATGTAAGTCATGTCTCTGAATCAGTGATTTAGTTTCTCTAGAATATATTGCAATTCAAATGGAAAACATGATCACTTAAACCGTTTCCAGGCTCTCGAAAGAAATCCCAGCCAAGCCAAGTCAGTCATTCACTCGGAGGTATGTCAGTTTACTATCCTGCCCAGCCCAACAAAACTTTCTATTCACGTCAAGCGAGAGCAAAGCGTGGATATACCATAGTCCCTTGCCTATCAAGGGATGAATTAACACCAGCGTGTTAAGACGACCTATCACTTGCGTCACATAACACATTGATGACGGCGTGGCGAAACAACGCTGTTACGGCATCATATAGACCGCCTTCCGGACGTTTCTTGAGTGAAGGCCATTCTCACAAACGCTGCCGTATTTCGCTCTAACTACAAGGCCGCACCATGCTACGAGTGGATTTAAATCAAGCTGAAGAAAAATTTGAGAGCGAATACGGCGCCGTTTGGCTTGGTGGGAGCAGCGAGTGATGCTCTGCGAAACTTGCACAGGCCACCTTGTGAAAACCTGTAAATTCCTGCGACTAAAGTGGCTTACTCACGCTTCGCAAAATTCACAGAATTCAACATGACTCATCAAAGTGAGACCTGTTGTTCAAAGGCACGGTCCGCGATAGGGAGCATAGGTAATGTATTGAAATAAGCAACAGAAGTTGTCAAGTGATCCGCCTGTGAAAAGAAAACGGTAAAGGGAACGCCAAAAACACCCATGTCAGGATCCCTACAGCTTCAAGAAAATTCACAGATATTATAAAGGCCCAAATTCCCACGTGAGGAACGACTGCACTAGCTTTATACCTGTTTAATGAGTGGGTCCCGATGATATCAAAAAGGGACGTATGGGCCATCCATTTCAGGCTACTTGTTCGGATATCGTATGTTTTCAGCTGAAAGGCAGGACTCCAAAGGGCCACAGTTCGCGACCGCAAATTGCGGGAAACGGAACTCAAATAGGCACAAAAAAGTGCTAAGTATCTGATTAGCGGAGAAAGCAGCAGAAAAAGCAGTCCGAAATGTTATAGAGAAAGAATATATGCATAGTGGCTACTAGCTAGTAGCTAGCAGCCGGTGAGGGTCGGCATGGGCCTAAGGGGTGTCCATGGGCCTAATTAGTCAGCTTCTAGCGGAGTTCTTGCCGTTTTCCACATTTTGAAAGTAGCGCAGCCTCAAAAATCGCCTTCCGGATCGTCCGACACATTTGAGAGGTCATAGCCTTATTTTATCGCGGAATGTGCCTTTAAGGCGAGGGTGGAGGCGGATAAGTCACTGGAATAAGGCAAGGGCGCATTAACTACTTTCACCTTACAAACTTTTCGCACGTAAACTGGCGCCGAGGTTGCTGCAGTCGGGTTTCGTACTACTTTCCGGGAAAACGTTTGCATCATTCATAGGCCTTCACGGACCTGTTTCCCTTAAACAAGACCAAAAACAAACGTAAAGAACTGGTCAGAGTGTACCATTTAACATGACTCATCAAAGTGAGACCTGTGGTTTAACAAGACCAAACGAAAGGAACTGGTCAGAGTGCACAATGTCCCCTCCGAGCCGAACAGCGAGTGGAACGAGTGGAAAAGCAAATTTACGCGTGATCACTAAAGCTCCTGACATACCTCACCTACCGGTTTTAGAAAACACTGCAAAACTTTGCCAAAGAGACTTTGCCGAGAAAAATGAACTATCTCTCTTGAAAAATTATTTATTTAGGTGCAAGCTATACTTGACGGTAATTGGGTGGTGATGTGTGCTCAAAAACCAGTGTCATTCATCACACAAAGTCAACGGTACTGTATGGATGGACACAATGGCACGTGGTGTTACGCTTTTCAATCAGATTATTGGCTCTGAATATAGTCTTTCATTGTAAATATGATAAAAAATATTATTCACTTGATTGATCGGCATGCACTGTGGCTGGATGATTTATGAGGAATTTGAAGAGCAGAAAGGAAAAGTGAATCACGTAAGGAAAAACACTGTCGCCTTTTCTTGCACATTATAAACATTCCATGGTGCAGAAGTAACCTTATCGCAGCGAATATTACTCTGTGAGTAAAGGAAAATACTGTGGTAATACTAGACTCTAAAGAGTAATAGTGTAACAGTACTGTAATACTGCACTGCTGTGAAGAACAGAGTGCTATCCGATTCGGAGCCTGTGGTCTCGTTTGCAACAAGGACTGCAGAAATGTTAGTACTCTGAGAAAGTCCGAGTTACGGTGACATGAAGGAACGAACTCGGCGCGCGCGTAAAATTGGTTCCTAGCGAGCTGATTCAACTATTTGCAACACTTTCGCGTAAAATTAGTTATGTCGCAGCGCGGCACGCGCCTCAAGAAATTGCAGGTAGTTCTGTTAGTATGCCGCGTAGAAGACATCGCTTGCGGTGCCGCGTTCGCCATCACAAGTCTCCTGACCCGTGCCGAAATTGATGGTATTACGGTGCTAGCCTTTCAACGCACTGAGCTTGGAGCAGTGAACCAGCATCAGACGCCTCCTATTGGTGAAATGAAACAAGCTACATCACTCTGAAAAGCCTATCCTCCTTGTCGAAGAAGTTTTCCGCGACAAGCGTTCAGGACATTAGTCTGGCACTGAGTGTACAGGCTACAGTACTACCTAGAGGACAAAAATGGATATTCGACATCGGGAAGGAGATCAGTGTTTATCCCCTCACAGCCGCCAAAGCTCGGGAGGGAGTAGAGCGGTATAGAGGGGTCCAATGATGTGTCAACAGTCTCAGACATTCACTGCCTTGCCGGGACAATCAAAGAATTCGGCCACTAAAAAACTCACAGCTATTTCCGATCTGAACGTTTTTTTCCACGAGGCTTTTACGATTTACGTTGTTCAGATGAGAATTTTTCACACTTATGAGATGACGATTTGAACCTTGAGCCCTTCCTCAATTCTACAGCAACATGCATTGCGTATAGCCTTGACAACAACAGTAAGCTCTTCCAAATATGAATAAACAAGCATGGAAATACGGTATGTCGTTAACAACTTACTACTATTCGAATAGGGCTCGGAGGGTGGGGGCCCCTCAGTCACCTCGGTTCTGTACCCATCCGTTACTAATTGCAGTGATTCGCAAAACGCCCGGAACCCCTCTTTCAGACCTAGCGGGGGGGAGGGTAGCCCGAGCGTTTTCTAAATCGCTGGAACTACTAAGGGCCGGGTTGAAGTCTGAGGATACGCGGGAGGATTTCCCAGCAGCCCATTTCTAAATCGCTGGAACTACTAAGGGACGGGCTGAAGTCTGATGATACGCAGGAGGATTTCCTAGCAGCCCACTTCAACAGAAATGAGGCAGTCCGTTTGGTAGTCGGTTGGTGAAAATGGTAGTGTCAGACACACTTTAGGTCCACCATATGTCACGCATGCTTCAGTCTGTCACATCCCATGCAGCAACGATGTCTATGAGCAAATCTCGAAGCCAGGGTGACAGCTCAGTGATGTGTAAAATGGCGGTAACCAGTGTCACTGCCTATTCCCCTCCCCTCTGGATTTTCTAATCGGGTGCAGTCTCCTCACCAGCGACCAATTACGACTCTATGATTTTCTTGGAACAAAGCAGCCTTACAGCCTCTTCCCTGTTGTTATCGGGGAGCTTCCTCCTCTATATTTGCAGTGCTTCGCTTATCACCTCCATTACACTGGATCACAACGTCTAGATCAGGGGGAAAGCGCGATTGTCGAAGTGGTTTAGAGGCGGACGCGGTTACAATGCCGTTCAGAAGGGGGTCGTGCGGATAGATGCCTAGAATCCCAAAAAGGTGGGACTTAGTTTTTGAACTTTAACCACGTTTACTACCAGTCTTGCTGACTCACTCGTATCGGAGCGAACTGCTGGTGAGGTAAGCCCTCCAACATACAACTACTGTATTCGTCGTGCTCGTCCTCTCTGCTCATTTCTATCCCTAGAATCAAAGTAAAGGAGACAAAGGAAAGCCATCAATATTGGCGTTGCTTGTGTCAAAACAAGCTTCATACCAACAGACAATTGGAATTAAAGAAAAAAAAGCGACGAAAAATCAGGCCGTTCTTTCCACTAATCGCACTGCGAAGGTCGTACTGACGATCGCCGAAGTCATAACACGGCCTTAAGCATGCGATTCGCACAAGCGCTCGGTACCAACCACTTCCCTAAGCCCGATTTGACCGAGAGCAAGACCGGCAAGTAATAAACAGTTTATCAGTATTACAACACAAGAAGCGAAAGAACAAATAGGTGAGAGACGAACAAAAGATACAAGATTGACACGGAGGAGTCGGCTGGCTAAGGAAGGTGAGTGGCGTGTAGGCGAAAGGTCCAACGTCCGGCTCGAGGCTACCAAGCTAATCCCCAGGACCCACTAGCTCTTAGAGTCCACTTAGGCTCACGGCCACTTAGGCCGTATCACAGGAGTAGAAGGAGGGGGGGTAGTAGGCGAAAAAGCTTCAACTTCGTTCTGGTGAACGAAGCCTACTTAGACGACAACAAATGAGCATGCCTCCTACGGCTGACCCCCACCTTTTACGGGGGCCACTCCCGCCTCGTTTCTCCCCTCAGGCAAAGCTTACTTTATTTGCCCGCACGATCTCCGGGCCTTGACCATCGAACCCCCCCTCAGGCAGTACTTCTATAGACTATCAGACACCAATACGGTGGATCACTGATCGACCCACACTTCTTTCCTTCCGGCACTTTTCTCGCGTCGAACCGACCACCCATCTCGCAGATCACTCTTGATCCCCTACAAGACCTTGCGCTTCCACGGCCCTCGTTCACCTGTGCGTGATGCTTCCAACTCCTTCCTTGACAGCTATACGAAAAGTATGTGTTACCGGACGTGAGGAAGGCCTGATGCCCAAGTCGGTCGCAAGATGTGTGAAAGAAATTCATTCTATAACACCGAAATAAGTTTGATGGAAACATAGTTCGATGAACAAGCTCAAAATATCTATGATCTTACTCGAATACTCAGTTGTGTGGTGGTGAACGAAGTGAAGACTAAAAAATGAGAGGTAAAACCTTGGTGACATAGAAAAGCCGGCCTGTGGATTGTTCCGCAGTTCTTCGGAAGTGGTATCGTCAACAACTAGGCTCCTAAAAGTATATGAGATTCACAAGTTATTGAGGGTTACTAAATACAAAATGTGGTCTTTTACCGGACAAATTCCGATCAAACAATGCTTTGCAAGTGTCAGAACTGGAGCATTTTCAAAAACTTCCGAAACCTATCGATGACGTTTCGGTTGTGGCTGCGATTGCAAAACAAGGGGCTGGTTTTTGCTACAGCTCCCTTTGTTTCGTATTGCTGAGCGAACTGATCTAATCAATCCGTTCTATTGTTTTTGAGACACCGGCTCTCGAAATATATTCATTTCTTTCTGTTTCATTGTCATTGCGGGATAGTGCCAGTTTTTGACATCCTGTGGACGCAGCCGCCACAATGCAGGCCGTCGCGGCGCAAAGTTGGTTGTCATCTCAATCTCAACCTGGGCTCCGAACGTGAAGCTTTTTCGTCCATGTAACGGGTGGTTCGGATGCAGCTGGTTGCCCGATAAAGTTATGTGCGGGCTACCCCGATGCAAAGGGACAGTCACCCAGCCAGTGCAGGGTTCAACATTTTTTGAAGGGTTTGGTCTGCATTGTAGTATTGCAGACAGTGCGGACAAATTTTTCCTTTCTGATCGGAGATTCCCTTCAGATCTCGCAGCTAGGGCCTGACCGTGGAACCAGCTTCTTCTCCCAGTAGTTACACGAGCCGCAGCTTCCTTAAAGACACATGGTACGATCACACATAGTTTGGGTGTGCGTGACTATCAGCCCCCAGCTGTCGAAGCGTAGCGGTTTCCCCGTCCTAACATGCGCAGGAATGGAGATACAGGACCGTGAAACACGCTAATTCCTCCATGCTCCGCAATGCCTTTTGCGGCGCAGACTCCCGTTTATGCTAACAGCCGTCCGCGCGGCGCGTGTCGCGCGCAGCGCTCTTGGCACTTTGCCAAGTCCTGTAATTGCGCTTTGGAATACAATTAAAACGCAATTTCCTGAAGTTCATTTGAGGTGTTGCTCATGCTGCAAAATCCAAATCCCAAATGATGACGAGGGCCAGAAGAGTCAAGAGCAACTGTGTTGCCCCTGCAATTTCCTTCCCCCAATACATGAAAATAAAAACGGCCTAAGCTCCGTCCGCGACCACGCGCCCCCGACGGCTTTAGTCGTAAGATATCGGCGCCGCAAATGATTCTTAGGCCGGGCGGATGGCCGGAATGCAGCGTGGTTTCACGTTCCTGCGATCCTCCATTCTGCGCATTGTCGGACAAACCGCAAACGTCACAGCTTGGCGGGCTGACAGTCACGCAACCAAACTATGTGGGTCTTTACTTGCTGTCTTTAAGCTCAGTTCACATGGATAACCGGACTCACTTCGTTTTCAAAGCTACAAGGTCTCAGCATCACTGCTGACATTATCGATCATCTCCTAAGATTGATGACAAGCATTGAGCTCAGAAAATATGGCAGAACTTCCATGCCAGCCTGATATTTGTATCAATCCTTGCACACTTGCCAAAATTCCTAAGAAATGGTGTGCCCTGACCACTACCACAATGTCCAGGGGGGGTCGGCAATATCCTATGTCGTTTTCATTATGCACAATACCAACGAATCCTACCTTTCCGTCTCAATTTCCCGCCATCTTTCCCGTCCGTATCTACCTGTGCGCATCCTCCAGGCACCCTTCCACAACCACCAGCAGAATTTGAGCCACTCTTCGTTCCTCTTGGGGTGTCATCTCCAATTTGGGTGATAAAATCGGTTCAGTACGGCTCGTATACTGGCAGAGGCGTACCTGAGT